TGTCTATTTATATTTAAGCATAACATTACTCTTTTTTGGATTTTCATTACGAAAGTGATCGTAAATTAGATGAAAGTTGTAATGATTATTTTGTTTATCTTTGACTATTGGTTTATTATCACCGATTCTTTATTATTTTTATATACAAAGTTTCTTTTAATTACATTTGGTATAAATTTTATTTCTTTACATTTTCTTATTGATTTGCAATACATTATTTATTAATTGCAAAGAAACGTATTTTCAATTTTATTTGAAAGCGTTCCCAGTTATAACGTTATTTTTTCGTTTTACTACGAGACAATTTGTTTCATTATTCAACTTTCAAATGATAACAACAAAAAGACAAAATATTACAATAATAATAATTACAATTATTTATTATTCTTTTTAATAATGTGATACTTTATTATATATAGTAATATATTGGAACATTGATGACGATCTCCTTACTTCGACATTTAATGTTTGTTTTATGTGTTTGGGGCAGTGGGTAGAAGTAGTACCTTTGTTGCTCGGCTGCAGCAACTTATTTTTAAGGTGGACAGGCAATACTGGTCTTCATCCATCCCTTAAATCTCCAAGTGATATAGGCGGTAAAACCGCTTCAGCAGGCGAGCTAAATCACATGGGTAGTGTTTGAACAGCACTACTAGGCGTATGATCTGTACAAGCGGACACACACACACACACATATATATATATATGTGTGTGTGTGTGTGTAGTGAGAAGGGAGCCTACGAACCCTGCAGGAAAAATACAAGACTTGTCAAAAGGCGGATGAACCTCTTTGAGAGCTCAATGGCTGTCTAGCTATCTCTGCGCGAGGCCATAGAAATATTTTGGCTGGTATTCAGACGCGTGGTTAACCCACTGCGGGGGGGGGAGAACCAGAAGCCTTCTGTCAGTCTCCTAGTGGAAGGAAACTGTGACTGTGACCTTGTCGCACACACAATTCACACGCACAGAGATCATGGATCGACTATCAGGGTCATGTAAGGCTTTTGAACTGTCCATCATCCTTGACAAGACAGTGGTGATGTATCAACCTGCCCGAGAAATTCAGTATATAGACCCATCAATTTATGTTGATGGTAATCGACTTGGGGTAGTAAACAAATTTGTATATCTTGGTAGCAACTCAGCTGTCTCTGTTCCCTTGATGATTAGATAGCGTTATAGATTAAGAAGGTCTCCGATACATTTGCAGCATTTAACTTCCGTGTCTGGAGTCAGAAGGGCATAAAAAAGCAGACAAAAATTAAAATATATAAAGCCTGCATTATGTCATCCCTGCTATATTCATTTGAGACAGGGGTAGTTTATCTCAGACATCTGAAGATACTGGAACGTTTTCATCAACGATGCCTTCGGTCTATGCTTGAAATCCACTGGATGCCTCACACCCCTGATACTGTTCTTCTACAAAGGGCCAATTCACTCTCTGTGGAAGCAATTATACACAAATAGAGATTGCGATGGACAAGTCATGATATTTGTATGGTAGATGACAGAATGCCAAAACAATTAATGTATGGGGAATTATAAATGGAAAAAAGACTGCAGCACAAGCCAAAACTTCGTTACAAAAATTGCCTTAAAGAGTCACTATACAAGTGCAAAATTCGTTGGATAACTAAGAGACTCTAGCTGAAGACGGGGTTTCTTGAAAAGCCGGTACTGCTAATGGCGTCAAGATTTTCCATGAGGCATCACAAAAATATGCAGAACTAAAGATAGGGGTTCGGATGGGATCCCTGAATTGTCATGAGGTGTCAACCTGGCCATTTACCCAATGTAATCGGATATGTCTTCCCAGGTCAGGTCTGATTAGTCATCAGAAATCACACCAGAACCAACAGTTTATTGCATAAGACGATTTCGTAATGGCATGCTTTGAATGACCGACCTGCACTAGAGTGTGCAAGTTCAGGTCGGACCTGACAAGGCATATAAGAAGACACATTAGAAGTGATGATGTTCAAAGTCAACTTCCATCACCCGGAGATGATTTGACATATATATATATATCTAACAAGAAATGCAGATCGATGGCTGGTTTTATGAGCCACTGTCGTTTACACAACAAATGAATGCAGTTTTCTGGGGAGGAGTTTTGCTAATAGACTGGATATGTCAATGATGGGCATACTAACTTTGTAAGTCGACATCCACTATATATATATATATATATATATATATATATATATATATATATATATATATAACGTGGTCTGTTTTTTTATTCAAACATATCTGCTCTGAATTTTATATTGAGCTGTCTGGATATCATCCTCCTCGAGTCTACCCATACGGATTACTTAAGTTTGCATAAATATATATATATATATATATATATATATATATATATATATATATATATATAGTCTTAAGGTGTGCTATATATATGGGATAAAGTGCTCGATATCAGAGATAGGGCGTGTGTAAATATAAAGGTGAACATAGAAGTCAACACTTAGAGGCGACAGTCTGTTTCATGCTATATGCAATCGGTGGCCTGTCGATTGCATCTAGCATGAAACAGACTGTCGCCTCTAAGTGTTGACTTCTATGTTAACTTTTATATATATATATATATATATATATATATATATATATATATAAAATAAAATGTTAATAAATTTAATTCCTTCTTCTTTTATGTGTCATATCACTTTAGGACATGGATGATTATGGCCCTTCTTGTAATTCTTAATAAATATTTTCTTTTTGTTATCTTTCCTAAACCATGATCTGTCAGCCATTTAACTATGCTCACTAGGTAGGTTATAAGTCATGTTCATCTGTCCTGCTTACCTACAGTCTCATCTGTGAGTACCAAATTTTCCAAGCCATCTTTCCTCATTATGTAAAAATTTTAATTGCTGTTATTGCTGTTATTAAGTATAAATTTCCTTTTTGTTTCTTTATTCTCTAAAACTTCATTATTGCTCACATGTTCGTTCCATGTTAACCTTTCTTCGAACAACATTTCTGTTGCTTCAAATCTCTCCTTTATCTATGCGAAGATTGTCTAATATCCATTGATATAAACGAGGACTGATATTACTTAACGATTCAGTACTCAATTATTTGTTTCTAATGATTTCTCTCTGTTTCTTAATGCTTTGCTTAGCTTTTGGAAAGCAACTTTTTCTATGCCACTGCCCCTTTTCAGTCTGACAAATGGCTACATGTAGAGTTGCAAACAAATAAGCTACCATTTGCTTCCATTCATGATAAGATCTCTTAAACTTGGTACGAGGTAAAATGTAGGGTCACCTATTGAAAATATAAATTGCTACAGTATCAAGAATTGTCTCTGTATATCTGATATTGTGGTTAGATCAGATTATTGTGAAAAGTGACCGCTTGTGTGAAATGTATTGAAAAACGCATGAATCATGATACCTCGCAGGCAAAAATCATACCTAGCGAGTTGGCCTTACTGAATAGAAAGCGATTTCAATGCGCAGTGTGTGCCAAACTTAACGAAGCTTTGCAAACATTAATATAAACTGGAATTGTACTAAGTGGTGAAGTATGGAACTAAAATTTACGTAAGCCGTAACTCGATATGAAGATAAATGCAATCTAATTTTGTATAATTATTTGTCAAAATTGGAATCCCTTAGATTCGTTTACAAATAAAAAAAGAAGTGAATTTACTAGTGCAACAATAAAACGTCACATCCTCAAAGACTGTAAATAGAAATAGATATACCAATGTAAGAAATTCTTAGCAAACAATTCAGAAAATCTGGGGATAAAGAAAACAGTGGGAAAAGACCGACATTTACACAGGAAGTCTGTGTAATTCGAATTAAACATTCTGAAATTTGGTTCAAATAATAATAATAATAATAATAATAAAACGAGTGACAACCCCAGAAGAATACAGAAAACTACACGCTTACTCTGTTCATTCCTATCTATCTATCTATCTATCTATCTATCTATCTATCTATCTATCTATCTATCTATCTATCTTCGTCTGTTCATTCATATCTATCTATCTATATATCTATCTATCTATTTATCTATCTATCTATCTGTACCAGTTTGTTCATGATCTATCTTCATTCACTTCATATCTATCTATCTATCTATCTAAGTCTGCTCATATCTATCTATCTATCTATCTATCTATCTATCTAAGTCTGCTCATATCTATCTATCTATCTATCTATCTATCTATCTATCTATCTATCTATCTAAGTCTGCTCATATCTATCTATCTATCTATCTATCTATCTATCTATCTATCTATCTATCTATCTATCTATCTATCTATCTATCTATCTATCTATCTATCTATCTATCTATCTATCTATTTAAGTCTGTTCATTCATATCTATCTATATGTTTGTTCATGATCTTTATTTACTTCATATCTTTTCTACCTTCTATCTATCTCATTTTGTTCATGATCTATCATCAGACACTTCATATCTATCTATCTATCTATCTATCTATCTATCTATCTATCTATCTATCTATCTGTTTGTTCATGATCTTCATTTACTTCATATCTATCTATCTATCTATCTATCTATCTATCTATCTATCTATCTATCTATCTATCTACATTCATAAAGTAAATCTATCTATCTATCTATCTATCTATCTATCTATCTATCTATCTATCTATTTAAGTCTGTTCATTCATATCTATCTATATGTTTGTTCATGATCTTTATTTACTTCATATCTTTCTACCTATGTATCTATCTATCTCATTTTGTTCATGATCTATCATCAGACACTTCATATCTATCTATCTATCTATCTATCTATCTATCTATCTATCTATCTATCTATCTATCTGTTTGTTCATGATCTTCATTTACTTCATATCTATCTATCTATCTATCTATCTATCTATCTATCTATCTATCTACATTCATAAAGTAAATCTATCTATCTATCATCTATCTATCTATCTAATCTATCTATCTATTTAAGTCTGTTCATTTCATATCTATCTATATGTTTTGTTCATGATCTTTATTTACTTCATATCTTTTTCTACCTATGTATCTATCTATCTCATTTTGTTCTTGATCTATCATCAGATTCATATCTATCTATCTATCTATCTATCTATCTATCTATCTATCTATCTATCTATCTATCTATCTGTTTGTTCATGATCTTCAAATCTAATCTATCTATCTATCTATCTACATTCAGAAATCTATCTATCTATCTATCTATCTATCTATCTATCTATCTATCTATTTAAGTCTGTTCATTCATATCTATCTATATGTTTTTTGTTCATGATCTTTAGTATCAGTTCATTCTATCATCAGAAATATCTATCTATCTATTCTATCTATCTATCTATCTATCTATCTGTTTGTTCATGATCTTCATTTTACTTCATATCTATCTATCTATCTATCTATCTATCTATCTACATTCATAAAATAAATCTATCTATCTATCTATCTATCTATCTATCTATCTATCTATCTATTTAAGTCTGTTCATTTCATATCTATCTATATGTTTGTTCATGATCTTAATTTAGGCATGTATCTATCTATCTCATTTTGTTCAAATCTATCATCAGACAAATATCTATCATCTATCTATCTATCTATCTATCTATCTATCTATCTATCTATCTAATCTATCTGTTTGTTCATGATCTTCATTTAAATCTATCTAATATCTATCTACATTCATAAAGTAAATCTATCTATCTAATCTATCTATCTATCTATCTATTTAAATTCATATCTATCTATATGTTTGTTCATGATCTTTATTTTACTTCATATCTTTTCTACCTATGTATCTATCTATCTCATTTTGTTCATGATCTATCATCAGACACTTCAATCTATCTATCTATCTATCTATCTATCTATCTATCTATCTATCCTCTATCTATCTATCTATCTATCTGTTTGTTCATGATCTTCATTTTTAATATCTATCTATCTATCTATCTATCTATCTATCTATCTATCTATCAAAAGCTATAGTTAGCTAGCTAGCCATCTATGTGCATCTATGTGCATCTATGTGAATACCCACACCTGTGTAGCTGCATATAATAAACCGCTACTGCTACTTCATGTTTGCATTCATCACTGCGCTTTGGATAGTTTGGTACAAGTTAAAAATATAGGGGCACCCAGATTGAATTGAATCCAGTATAATAGCAGTAGTCAGAGAAATAAATTTTCCAGCTATTGCACTATGGCTAAACTCGTATACATTAAAAAACTGAATAGCAAAACGTAAGGCATGAACTCACAAATTCTAAAAATATTCTCAGACAAATCTTTCAAAGAAAATAAAGTTAAATTAAATATTCGATAAATTTCCCCTACACGGAAGAAAATACGAATGTAACTTCTTTTGGTATAAGCCTTTGTAAAAAATAAGTTTGTAAAATATATCTTCATATTCGACGTTTCATTCGCTTTAAAATTAAGAAAGAAGTGTTGTCTGAAGATGTTCTGTTTAGTATAAAAATAGAAGAACGACGCTCAAGTTGATATGAAACGTTAGTTTATTGTAGAAAGTAAGACCTAAGGGACATCTGTGTCTTGACTTAGCATTGCGGTGGCATTGCTTTAGGAAGACGGCGTTTTGAGAGTAGCTGAAGTGTAGAAGGGTAGTACCTTGTCTTGAAATAAGTACTTTTTCTCTTTTACCTGATGGCAAATGTTGACCAGCAAGAAATAAGAAACGCAAGCTAAGACAGGATTTTATTAATTTTAAAAATCTATCTAAAAAATGGTAATGTAAAAATAATAAGATACAAGTGCTAACAGGCGGAGTGTTATGTGTACACACACACACACACACACACACACACACACACACATATATATATATATATATATATATATATATATATATATATATATATATACAATTTATCATGCGATCTAATAATTTTTTTCTTCCGTTGATAAATTATATAAAAATTGTGCGAATGATCTTTTTATCCGAGCGGTTTTCAAGGATTAAATATTTTAACTGTTAAATAAGAAATAGTTTGTTGCATGTATGTTTTATAAAATGTTTTATAAAATGTTTTCATTTTTTTTCAAAACACGGTCAAGATATTGTGTCCATGTTCATAGTTAATATTATTAAGTGTTCCTTTTTTATGTTTTTATTAGTAAGGCTTCCATTATCTTCAGCCTAAACATTGCATAAAAACTAAATAAAAGCACCTTGTTTGTCATATTCAATGAAATGTGCATGAAAGAAGGATTGCTGCCTAAATAAACAAATTTTAAATACACACACACATATACATATATATATATATACACACACACACACACACACATATATATATATATATATATATATATATATATATATATATATATACAAAGTATGGATGAGAGGATACATAAATACATAAAATTTAAGATTGTTTTTATATAGTTAAGAAAATAATATATTCAGCGCGGGCAGACACCCACACACTCTTACGATTTATTGTCAAAAATTCATTCAGAGAAAATATATTTGAAGTAAATATTTAATAACTTTCCCTTGAATCTATGAAAATGCAAAATTTCTAAAGAAAGATCAGAGAAAAAATGATTACTTTGTTTAAAACAATATACAGTGTGATTGAAAATAACTCCCTGTTTTATGTCTCCTGGACTCTCCCGTCTTGTACAAATTATACTTAGACGGGAGAGTCCATCATACATAAAACAGGGAATTACTTTTCAATACCTCTATGTATTCTTGGTGGGTATTTTAGTAAAAGAAAGTTTATAAATTGTCTCTTCATATTTTCCTTTTCCTTTTGTTAAAACTGAAGAATAGGGTTTTTTCTGTAGGATTTTGTTGATGTAAATGTTCGGTGAATAAATTATTTATCTGGTAAGTATTCATCTGAAAATGTCAGAAATGCAGACGTTATTTTCTTTAACGTTCAACGCCTCAACTTGATATGAAATAATTATTTTTGAAAGTAAGACTTTATCGTAATGGTAAAATATAGCCGTTTCTCTACAAGGAAACATTTGGTATATATTGACCGAGCAACCAGTACTGCATTAAGTTGAAATTTGTAAAATCTTCTTTCTCAAAACAATTTCTCAGGAAAACGTTTATGAATATCTTAGTTTAAGCCCAAGTGGGATTGTATATGATTGGGGTCTATGCGACGCCAATAAACGTTCACATTTGCCCAGTACATATCAAAGATTCTCATTATAAGTTCATAGAGATATCCACCCACACACACACACACATATATATATATATATATATATATATATATATATATATATATATATATATAGGCGGTGTATGTATACAGGGTGTAACAGCAAAATTATCCAAATTGTGTAACAGCAAAATTATTCAATTCTTAGATTAATCTTTGAACCGTTGTATCTTACAAATGATTAAAGATAACTTACTGGAATTCTGCGAGATTTTTATAACATTATTGGGTTCTCCTATTCTACTTTGGCCAGTAAGAATGTATAATTATTCTCCAAGCCTAACAGAATTATCGTGATGAATCGATCATAAACCAAAATGACATGTTCATCATTAATAAATCATAGCTCAGTTATCGGAAGCTCATAAATGATTGAAATTAAGTTCACACACACACATATATATATATATATATATATTATTCCAATATCATTTTACAAATTATTCGAGATGATCTGCGCCCTCTCTAACCATCTAACTTTCTGTACTAGAGTAACAACGTGTCTCACAATTTTCACATACGATTTCATTTTCAAGTCATTTTCATTGCAATTTGGACTGTCGTAACTGAAACTCCTCTCTCACGTGCCAAATGTTTTATGGATTGAGTTGGATCTTTTCTAATTGATCACTTTAGCTCGTTGAAATGATGATCCCACATCTTGTTGTGACCTCATTTTTAAACTTATTCACCGTTCTCTTCATGGCTCTTGAACAGACTTTGAAAATGGAAGCCAGATTATGAATTCTGTTACCATTACTGAAGGCCTGAATGATTTTTTACCTCTCACCATTGCTCAGTTGAAAAGACAGTGGGTCTGACACAAAACTATTTAACCTGATATGTTTTTCCCTGAATAACTCAAAGGGATTGTCAGTGATTCTAAAAACAAATGGTGTCAAGATATCTGAAAACCTGGAAAAAGAAACTCAATTAGTTTAGTGTTTTTTCAAGATATTATATATATATATATATATATATATATATATATATATAGTGATAGATATCCATAGATATATATAGATACTATTAGTGCTCAATATATATATATATATATATATATATATATATATATATATATATATATATATATATATATATAAATTTCAAAGAGGATAGAATCAAGGTAGAACTCAATGTCCATGACAGAGTAAGAATATAAAAGGCTCAAACACTAATATTCCATGGTTATAATTTATTACATTGGAATCGTAATCACGATCCAATTCATCAGACCTACAAATTGAAAAAAGAAATCGGAAAATATAAACCTTTATTTAACTCCTCTCTTTAAAACTTCTCTCTGTTAAATTTTAATCCCCACCTTCACCTTTAGGCCTTCCTGCTCTTCTTTCTTCTATTACACCCTCTCTCTAGAGCTTTCATACATTTCTCTCTCGCACTGTTTCCCATTCTTACACATACACTCTCGCTAAAATTTTATTTTTTATACCCGAAGTTATATTTTCCAATTTCTTTTTGAATTTGTAGATCTGATGAATTGGATCGTAATTACGATTCCAATGTAATAAATTATAACCATGGAATATTAGTGTTTGACCCTTAATATATATAGAATATTAGTGTTTGACCCTATATATATATATATATATATATATATATATATATATATATATATATATATATATATATATAGGAGAAAAAACTTTCGACCGTTAGCTGTGTAAGTGTAGTATGGTTTTACGAACACTTATTGCCCGCCACTTGAAGAAACCTAGCGGTCGAAATCAAGATGGTGTGCGATTACATAAAGTGTTTTTTCTCCTTTATTATATTTACTTGCCCTGCATTTTCATTTTTAAGGCATCTGCCTCGGGCCCTTTTTGATATACGTCCGTTTTGTTGTACGGTATATTTCCGGCCTCTTACCAGATTTAAGAATTGACCGAGGATGTTTTTTACAATTGCTTTCTTAACAGATTTTCTGTTGTAACAATGCGTGTTATTTAAAAACAATACCTTTGGGAAACTGATTGGTATCTGTTGGGCTGTGCGTCTGGACACGTCAGATGCCAGAAATTTACAATTTTAAAGTTTCGCGTACCTATATATTCAGTGCTTACTCTCGTTGTATAATTAAAACCGAAGTTTATATCTCGCCCTTCCCCTACGAGGACATCATTTCATCAATAGAGGCATAACTTTAGTTTGTTGAAGTTTTTCTAGAAGAAAAAAACCATTATATAGATATTTTCCACTATATATTCAATTACCTAATATATATAGAAATATATATAATATTGTCTCTCTGTAACATGGAGACCAAATAGTGGATGTAAACTCAGTTATTCATTGGGCTATATGTGTGATGCTTTTTTTATGAGGGCTTCAGGCAGAATTTTGTTTATCGCTGACGAAATGCATGGGCTTATGGTGACATCACCCTTGAAACACCTGGTCCCGACGATCACCGAAGTTAAGCAACGTCAATCCTGGTCAGTAACTAGATGGGTAACCGTTTAGAAATAGAGTGTGCTGTATGCTTGGAGGTGTCGGTGGTATAATGGCTTGGAATTTTTAATCAGAGAGCCGACTTCCAATTCCAAGTGGATACAATATATTCACTTACGAGCAAATACCCATTGGAAAACCCACCGCTTCTGCTCCCAGCTATGGTTTAATTTGTATCACTAAAAACATTATCATCCAAAAATAAATAAAATTGCGCCCAAAATATTTAAATTTCGGCATTAAGTAACACGTTGATTTTTATATGCAGCTACACAAATCAACGAAATGCGTCGCCTATTGTGATGAGTAATTGGGAAGATTTTATTTTCTTTTAGCTGAAAAGATTCCTGTCTAACGATTTTATTGTGCTTCCAATATCTGTTGTAGTTTCCATGGAGTTGCTAGAATGTATTGTTTTCGGAGCTTCCGACATATATTACAGAATCAAATACTTGTAAGCTATATATATATATATATATATATATATATATATATATATATATATATATATATATATCAGTATATGGTGTAATTCAATTTTTTGTATTGTTTTTCATATGGATGATTCATATATATATATATATATATATATATATATATATATATATATATATATATATATATATATATACACTTTTGCGATGGATAAATTGTCGTCTAAATTCCGCAAAAATGTAAATAACACAGACATCTCATTTTAACAGATATATTTCTCAAAATTACACAAAAAATATCTTGAATTACTAAAGAGTAAATTTAATCAATAAAATCGCCACAGGCTTCACCGTAGTGTCCAGACCACTTCGGAATCTCCTGCAACTCTTCTGGATGGTCTTGTTGTTTAAGATGGAGAATACTGCCATAAACCTTGGCTTCAATTCATCTTTGGTGTTACATGGAGTTTTGTTGTCTCTCGCTCAAATGCAACCTACACAATAATAATCAAGTCTGTTGCAGTCTGGGGAGTTAGGTGGCCAGATGATGTGGTTGCAGAAATTGTCTGATAGCCATAACTTGGTTCTTCTGCTTGTGTAGCATTGTGCAAAGTCCTGTTGCCAGACATAGACACTTCCAGCAGCTCGTCTCTTGAACCAGGGAAGCACTACCTCCTCAATGCAATTGATGTAAGCCAGCGTGTTGAGTCTGAGGTACTCACTTATATATTTGGAACGACCAGAGTTAGTTTTGGAAGATACTATGCCTTCGTAATCACCATTAGACTCCTCCAAGTCTTACCGAATCCTCTGCAATGTCCTCAAAGTGACGCCCAAATACTGAAATATTCGTAAAGGAGTTTCCCACGCGAATGCCGAGTAGTGCAGGGGACTTTTTTTCAAATTTCTGGCGGAGTCATTTACCTTATGGTGCTCTTTTTCTCACAGACGGTATCCATCTCGCTCTAATATGCTGTGTGCAGTCGACAAAAATTTAAAAAAAAAAAACAAAAAAAACGGATATGCACAGAAATACAAAAAAATATAAAACAGCGAAAATTTACACACCGCACTCATTATCTATCTATCTATCTATCTATCTATCTATCTATCTATCTATCTATCTATCTATCGTCCGGGTCACACCCCTCTTTTGAACAGGAGAATATTTTTATCTCTCGTTTCCTGTTTAGGATGGGGTTTGAAGATCCTTGTGAAATCTTCTCACTCATTTTTACTCCCAGGAGCCCGTAGTGTCTTAGTGGTACTATCGCCTTGATTGAGGTGAACTGATAAGAAATTTTTTACTCTCTTCATATATATATATATATATATATATATATATATATATATATATAGTTTTTTCAGGTGTGCTATATTTATGGGATAAAGTGTTTTAATATCAGAGGTAGAGCGTATTTAAATATAAATATAAATGTGAACATTTAAGTCAACACTCAGAGGCGACAGGCTGTTTCACCCTGGACGCAATGATGTGGCCTGACGATTGCGTCCAGCATGAAATAGCCCCTGAGAGTTGACTTCAGTGTTCACTTATATATATATATATATATATATATATATATATATATATATATATATATATATATATTTATATGTATATATATATATATATATATATATATATATATATATATATATATATATATATATATATATATATATATTAGAATAAAATCTACATCAGTGTAAACATAGTTGTTGTCGAACTGTGACTTTTCATATTCACTTCTCTAAACATTTACCACTTATTACGTCTCGCTTTTATCCGTTCGTTTCTCTAAGCTTTTCAGTAAGTTGGCGTATGCATTGCTCTACCTTTCCTGATTTGTGACCCCGCTTCTAGACAAATGAAACCTGATTTGTATTCATTGGTCCTGCCGTGTTCCAAGTTTTGTCACATTAGTATTCTAACGAGTGCATATCCATAACAACGAATCGTAATTGATATTTCTCGGGGTGGTTGACGTCGGGTTGGAATCGTGAAGTGGGCCGTGCTCGGTCGAATAAAGATAGTGAGTGGCAGCGTTTCCATCCCCTGAGTGTTTTGAAACACCTCGAAGCGACCATCTAGAAAGAAATAAACATGGAGAAACGAAAAGTTTTCAAAGACTTTCTGCTAGTTAGAAATGTTGGTAGAACATTGTTTAGTTTGTGCAAAATTTTAGATTATCTTCTAAACTTTGTTGTTACATACAACAGAGCTATACGAGGACTGATCAAAAAGTAATGGCGTTGGTGTCATAAAAAAAAAAATACAGCACATTTCAATTCTGTTTTATGTTGTTTTCATTGACGGACATGTTACTGGGACACCTTTTCTTTTTTGGAATAACGACCCCCTTTCATTCTCATGTTTTGAAATCTTATTCCTTGTAAGTATGATTTGATTTTTGGTAAGAAGAAAAATCGTATTTGGCGAGATTTGGTGAATATGGTGGTTGTCAAACCTGGGGAATATCCTTGACTTAAAACTGTTGCGTTGGTGACTGATATAACGTTTGTGTTGTGTTTAGACGACCACACTCTTCACACTTTCCTTCCAAACTACAACTGCTATAAAAAAAAAAAAATAAAAGCGATAAAAAACATTAAAACTTAGTATCCAGGTTCACGCTGTGCCATTGTAAATACTTCGGCTCCGTTACCATAGCATCAGTTTAGATAATATTTGATAAAGCTAGTATGTTAGCTGGCGTAATATTCCCCTCGGCTGACAACCGAACCACCACTGAACGGTGACTGGCTACGGAGTTATGTTGCGTGCGTTCAAATCCCACATGTGATGGAAGAAAGAAAATAATCCCTTCTCCGCATGCATACTTTCAAACAAAAAAAGTGAATTCTTCACTAGGAATATCGATTTGTTTCTCTATCGGAACAGGCACCTTTGGAATCTTCCATTAATTCTTCATTCACAACATTATGTCTTTCAAAAAAGGCTGTCATTATTGAGGCCAAAGTGCTCCTAAGCAAAACAGCGTCATCGTTCCCACAGATACATCGCAAGCCTATAGTCATTTCCATGTTCAGATGAGCGCTCGATTCCATAGTTTTACCAGGTCAAACATTTATAACTAGGATACACTATACCACTTCCACAGATTCAACTCAGCCTCATTAACCCTGTATTCCAAATGTAAGGAGAAAATTTCTCCCAGGCAACATTTTCCCACGAGACAGTCTCTGAACGCTCCAATGAACCTCTTAAATCAAACTGCCATTGCTACACGAACACATCACGTTGAAACATCGGTTCCCGTAAAAAGTTACGCAATGATGATCCTGGTCAGTAACTAAAAGGGTGACCGCTGGGGAATACCAGGTTTTGTAAGCTTGGATGTATGGGTAGTTTAATGGAAAATAACTTGGAATTGTTAATCGGAGAGCCGAGTTCGAATTCCAGTTGGGTTCATTATATCCACTAATGTGCAAAAACCCTTTGAAAGGTATGAATTTACCTCTTCTACCCCACCCAAGTGTGGCCTAATTAGTAAGGTTTGTATCACTAAACTTTTATTATCTAAAAAGGTCTTACAATTTAGAAATATTTTCTGGGTTGATAACCCTTAAAAAACGAATCAACCAATCAGTTTTCATTTTCTACCATTTTAAAAGTAACTCTCTACATTGAGTGGCTCTTGAGGTTTTTTAGTGGCAGAACATGTATAAAAATAAGAATAACATAAATGAACTCATCATGAAGGCTTCACTTACGGTGTTATTCCAAATTTGCTAAATTTCTTTTTCAATTCCACTATTTGTCACTCTAAATTAGAAGACATTTGGCATCGGTAATTTTTTTTCTCAAACTGGCCCTTCATTGACAATTACGACAATTGTATATCGAAAAATACGAATAAATTTCGAGTGATTCCAAAGGCGATCTAAGATATTTTAAGATGGAGTGAACGAAGATGGTTTAGAAAGTTGTACCTCAGGGAAAATATCTTCTCTATACAAGCGAGTCTCTTAAAGACGTGGCCGATGATGATTCTCCACAGTTTACTATTTTTCGCACCACTAAGCAATGTTTTTTTTCACATGGTGTCCTTTCCAGTCTATGCTTCATCATCCATTTACACAACCTCATTAGGAATGTTATACAATCTTTTCCTTTAGCTTGCCTTCAATATATCCTGTCAATGTCAAATGTGTGTTCCAGACATTTCTGCTGTCACTTTCTGATCCTAAGCGCAAGTCTCCTTATCGTTTATATTTTCATTAAAAATTCCTCGTTGTTGACATGTTCCGTCCATGTTATTCTGTCGACCATGTCTCTTTGTCTGAAGTTCCTCCACTCCTCAATACCAGAGAAAAAATTGATTTGACATAGCAATTCGACTCTCTTCTTTTTTGTTTTTTTTAAACAGTATTTTCCTGTTCCTGTGATTAAACACCCTATCAGATTCCAGTGTCATATTTTCCATTGTTTGTTACAACATTACTTAGATTTTCGTAGAAATATCTTTATTGGAAAAGAATACATCTGATTTCTTGAATACGTCTTGGGAAATACATCTCCTGGGAATTTAAAGAAACCTAATATTATTTGGAAGAAACTTCTTTGGTCTCATGTAAGGAAAATTGAACTTTAACATATATTAAATAAATATTTTGCAAATGTCTAGATAACTATTATCTCTTGGCAGTGCAAACATCCATGAACCGAGGCTATTACAACCATTTCCTATCTTATAAATATTAAGATGTTGCTGAATGCAAGCAAGTTCCATTAAATTTGGGTGAATAAATATAAGTTTGTTTGCTCATATATCAATGAATTATATATATGTAAGTAAACAAATACGTATTCGGCTTATTTGTCTGGGAGGAAATCTCTTGATAATATCAGCCATGAGAGACTATATCAGCATGCGACATAGTTAAGAAATCCCTGTAAAGCATAACACGGGTTGATTGAAACATTGTGTGTGGAATCGTTGATGGTTATACTAGCCCTAGGTTCTAAGTCATCGTGACCGATGTTTTGAGGGTACTGCCTTGTCCAATAAACGATAATGCTAAATAACGCGTTCCTTCTCAGAAACTGTAATTAGGATCCATACAATATAGTCTGGATTCACGGTGGAGCAATGGATCGCGGCTCAGATTGAGAAACCTGAGAACCAGGTTTGAACTCCAGTCGAGTTTACGTTCACTTGCGTGATACTATCCTTGGGAAAGTTATCTATTCATCTTTTCTCTCCTCAGCTATGGCTAAATAACAGGCCAGGCTGATCCCTATAGCCTTGAGTTACAACCGGTTTAGGTGAAGATCAGTTCAGAATTCAAATCCTGAGGACCAAGGGCACGGATCTAGGTCAACCCACAGTCTACTCATTAGCCGTCCAAGAATTTGGAAATAAGATAAGAGCCGCCAAGATATCTGAAAGTCCACTGAGAGGAAAAGGAATCAAAGTAAATTTCTTCTGTCCTCAAACAACGATTGAAGCAAATGAGAAACTAATGATTTTGACGATATAGTTACAGTCTAAGCTATTAAATTAATCTGGGGTTTTTAAGAAACACAAATACGCCTGATCTGCGATTTACTAGCTACCCGGAAACGAGTAGTCAGTCATTATATCTGTGAGTTTTTATTAACATAAAACATTAGCAGATAAATTGATAAATAAATTAGTATATATGGATAGAGAAGCGTAACAATTATTTGAAAAAGTCATATACAATTAAAACTTTGCTTATGTTGAACATTATTAACGTTGATTTTTATTTATTTGATTTTTGATTCTTAGTTCCATTCAAATAAAAAAAAAATTATTCGGTTTTTCTGAAAGTTGTACTTAATTTTGTTTCAATCATTTCACTCCAAGCAAGACAATAAAGCCACTAAGACGCAATGTGTTACTGAGTCTTGAAGGATATAACAAAAATATACTATGGAAAAGAACAACAGTTAAGAAGACCGAAGATAACGATTGATATTGCATTTAAATATTTGAAGATCAAAGTTGACTGTGAAGCAAGATGCCGGAAAAGAGTTAAAAATAGATATTATTTAAATTATTCGGACTATTGTCCTCATCTTTGTCGCCATATTTATTACAACGTTTCGGCCTTTATACGCTCCGGCCTTCTTCAGGTGGTTGGAATGTCTAACTTAATCCTTTATTTCGCTCACTGGAGTAGACTGTTCTAACAATGGATGTTAGTTATCAGTTATTCCCTGTTAATTTCAGGTTGAGATCATAGACAAGGATCACCACTGGAAAATTCGTAAACTTAAGGCACAAATGCTAGGCCACAAAAATCTCCTAAGCCGACCAAGCATAGAAATGAATACTATATGGGAACCAGCAATAAGAAGTGCCAAAGAAAAGTGATAATAACAACAAAAATTGCAATATGAGCTCTGGTAAAAACATGATTCCATGATTCTAAAGTGATTTAGAATTTTTCAAAAGGATTAGAACTTAGAAATTATCACGTTATTAAAAAGGACAGTCTCGAATTTATTTCCTCAGTGAGATTAAATTCTCTTATTCATAAAAGAAGATTGTTTATCTTCAAATACATATTAGAATATTTGGAAAATATTTCTTGGACTGATATTTTTTAATTTTTTTTAATCTCAATATTAATTCTCAATAAACTCGATAATATTCATATAAGCTGCTTACCACACTATAATCCCATATACTAGAATTCAGCCAATAACAGCTTCGTGAGGTACTACTAAGAAAATAGGAACTCCTTGAGTTATGTATTATACATGAAAGATGTGGTAGTAGGAAGTGAAAGGTACGAAGATAAGGAGGATAGACAAAGACTGACCCTTTTTTTTAAAGGGGTTATGTTTCAATAAACTACGAAGCTGTCTGTTCCATAAAATGTCAGTTCCTTGGAAAAAGCTGCCTGAGTGGGACATTTTCTTAACTTTTAAATACGAAGGAAACAACGGTGTTTCAACTCCTAGGAAATGGAATACGGTGCCTTAACTCTAAAACTGGAAGCAAATAATGTGAACATTATATATACATGAATATAAACCATAGTTTGCAGTGAGCTGCACGCGGCTAAAACAAATTTTTAAAATGTTAAACTCCATTCTTGTTCGCTGTTCCATAATTCAACTAATCTGATCTCATTTGAAAATATAATAATGTATCAAAAAGCCAAGTGTTGACCTATCGTCTCAATTACAACTATATTGGAGATCTTAAGATCTTTTCGCCATCCTAATCAGCGTAATGTAACTATGATAAAAGATGATTCGTCCCAAATCACAGCTGAACAAATAAGTGGCTGAATGTCTAGTATGGAAGGTCGTCTACTTCTAAAAATAACACTGTTCAGTAAACTGGGCTCTAGTCGTCTTAACAGAAGGAAGCTATGAAAGAGATACAAATATTGCTTTCAAAGTTATTCACCTCCGAGGGTATCGACGGCCGCAAATATCTAACGGATAAAACTTGTCACAACATTTTCCAGTTGACTGATCATACAGGCAGATGTGGAAAACCGACGTAAACATTTCACTTCTTCCAACCATTGATCCTGCTTCTTTAGCCACCATTGATCCTGCTTCTTTAGCCACCATTGATCCTGCTTCCTTAGCCACCATTGATCCTGCTTCTTTAGCCACCATTGATTCTGCTTCTTTAGCCACCATTGATATGAACAAGTCTCGAGAAGTATCGCCGAGTCTGCAACAAACTAAAGACCTCTCTTAACTCCTTATTTGTGAAGCAATTAATATAAGTAAAAGTTTTGTAACTTAGTTGATTCATGTTACCTTCAGCATCCTCACAGAGTTTCGCAGACGGGCACCTCCGGGAATCACTCCGAACGCTCATCAAGCAGTATCAGCGAATATATATATATATATATATATATATATATATATATATATATATATATTGCGTTGTTCTATACCCCGGTATATATTTGGTTTTCATTATATAATGCCCGGAAACCAACTAAAAAAGATTTGCATTATTTTTTCCATAGTAAATCTCTATTAATACCATTACTTAATCGCATGCGCTCGTAGATATAAACTACTAGTTTACATCGTCATAGTGTGATATCACCAGTCATGTATTCTTATTATAAACACTGCTTACAGCTTTGTTCTGGATAAAAACAAAAATCATGCTATGCTTTTGTTCACATCGTTAGAATAAAGAGCAAGTTCTTCTCCACATATTCTAATATAAGTTTTCTGACATTCTCAATCACTGTTCTATCATCCATTGACACTAGCTCGGGTGTAATATGACAGCTGAAGTATGGACGACAAAAATGAAAAGCTCCTTATTCTACACAATAACAAAAGTATATTCCCAGATTACGGCCAGCACAAATATAAATATATAGACAACTGCTTTTGAGCGTTGGCCCCAAACATTCTCATGTCGATAACTACTAGATTGACTCCAGAAGCTTCGTTCTCATCCTTATTCAATAAAAAATCAATTGATTTGATAACTGGAAAAGGGGTTATAATCTCCTGGATAAAAAAATAAAGATTGCGTTATGATGGTTCTTGTCGTTCCTATAAAATGCCTTTGCTTTCCTAGTATGTCACACTTAATGTTTAAATCTCACACTTCACGCTTTTCTGTTGATCTTGAAAAACATATACCATAATTCCCCATGTATAATACGCATGTTTTTTAAAAAATAGTAATCAAAATCAGGGGCGCGTATTATGCACAGCTAAAAAAATCTTTAAAAGATTGCCGTAAAATAAAATAAGAATTATCATAAAACTAAATTAGAATAAAATTATTCTGTGTTTAAAAACACTTTTTTAAACAAGAGTAGAACACCTTGTCCGTAATGAAATTGGAGGGGTACAATTTATAGTGTCTGATTACTAAACAAGGGGTGCGTATTATGCATGAGTAGAGGCATTTTACACTTTCAGCACAATTTTAGGGGTGCGTATTATGGACGAATGCGTATTATAGATGGGGAATTACGGTAACTCACTTCTTGAGCAAGTGGATGGAAACGAAAAGAATGCAGAGATGCATATGATAAATTAAAAAAAAAAAATTAAATTCCGAAAATAGTTTTTATTATTTTAAGATTTCTTCTTAAAGGAAATCTTTAGAAGGGGGTCAGTAGAGAGATACAATGAAGGGTGGTCAGTGGAAAGAATAAGAATCTAAGAAAGAAAATCGAGAAGAAAAACAGAAATATCGGAATATGAAACCCGGCAGGAAAGAAGGAATGAGAATGGAAGAGAGAAAGAAACTGAAGTATAATCGAAAGTTAAAGAACACGTGATTGTATCAATAAATTTGCGTGAGAAGACAGAGTACAGATTCCTGATGTGTTGAGAGAAAAGGGAGAGAGAGCGAGAGAGAAAGGTAGAGAGAGAGAGAGAAAAGGTAGAGAGAGAAAGAAAGGTAGAGAGAAAGAAAAAAGAGAGAAAGAAAGAAAGGTAGAGAGAGAGAGAGAAAAGGGAGAGAGAGAAAGAAAGGTAGAGAGAGAGAGAGAAATATATAGAGAGAGAAAGGTAGAGAAACAGCAGAATGAAGACGAAGTTAATACTTAAAAAATTATTGAATTCTGATTACACATCGGTTCTCCTATAAATGCCCTTGGTTTTCAGTTTGCATCCCCAACATTTTTTCCTTTCTCTCTCTTTCATCTTCTGGATTTTAAGTTTTGATCATATCGTTTTTTATTGTGCGTAGTGTCACCACAAATGTATACACACGATTCCGGTGTCTGTTTTTTAATTTTAATTTAGGTCAGCTATTCGGTAGCGAATTATGCATCGAAAAATAATTCATATTTATCTGTGTCTCACTCATTTAAACTGTTAATTCCTCTCTTTAAAACTTCTCTCTTTCTTCTGCTACACCTTCTCTCTAGAGCATTCATGCATTTCCTTTCCACACTTCTTTCCCACTCTCCCACTCTCTCTAAAATTTTGTTTTTTATACTTGGAGTTATATTTTCTGATTTCTTTTTGAATTTGTAGGTCTGATGAATTGGATCGTAACCATGGAATATTAGTGTTCGAGCCTTTTAAATTATATATATATATATATATATATATATATATATATATATATATATATATATATATATATATGTTGTTTCATAAAATAATATAGACAAGTGTTGTCTATTTATTTTATATAAATTCGTTTCATTGTATGAATGAAAAAATGCTGCCTAAATACACACACAATATATATATATATATATATATATATATATATATATATATATATGTTGGATAAGCATGGAATAATAATAATACAACACAAAATGTACGTAAACAAAATGTATTGAAACAAGGAAAAGGTACACAATATTTACAGTTAGTTTTGGTATATTCTTGGGAAGACTGTTCCTGTAGAATGGGTTGACTTAATGGCAGTCGGGCAGAGTCTCTCGATTGGATCTCTTGTTACTTCTCCCTCGTCTTCCCGGTACCAACCCATATTTATCGTCGGTACTCCACTATGTAAATTAGGTTGATCGTACCACAACAATATATATATATATATATATATATAAAACACACAAAACACACACACACATATATATATATGTGTGTGTGTGCCTTGTGTGTGTTTATATATATATATATATATATATATATACATATATATATATATATATTCTTCTAGCAGCATGGCCCGGCGTTGCCCGTGCTTGATTCAAAAATCGTACGATTCATACAGCAATAGATATCACTTGACTTAAAATATTTTTGCCCTTCCTTGCCTTTAAAGGGGTGCCCTTTGCCGTGCTAATTTTGTTACATGCCTTACTTCTTGCCTATCTCACACTGCGAATTTTTTCCAAGCTATTGGCTCTCACTCTGGCCAGTAGAAAATGGCTGCAAACCACATGAAAACTGGCGTAGAAGCATGAAAAAATCGATTATTTCCACTATCGATGGGAGTTGGGAAATGCAGAGTCGCTGTTGGCCTTCCCGCTAACTTGGAGCATGTGTATGTAAAATTTGGTGCAAATCCGTCGAAAATTGCGGCCGTGCATTCGTTACACACACACACACACACACACACACACACACACACACACACACACAAACATCCTGCCTTATATATATATATATATATATATATATATATTTATATATATAAGGCAGGATGTGTGTGTTTAAAAAAGTGGATAAGGTTTTCGTGTGAGGCGTCAAACGAAAACTTTTACACTTTGTAATACTTTTCCTCTAAAACTGTGCTTGATAAATAATATACATATATATATATATATATATATATATATATATATATATATATATATATATATATATATATATCTTAACAAAAAAAAAAACACTAGCAGAAATTCGTGTTTACTCAATGACAAATGTGAATGTCTTCATAGATGCAAAATAGCTGTTATGAAAAACATGGTTTACCGATCCAAAGTAATCTCATATTCGGGTATATTATTCAATAGGTAAATTAGTAACGTTAAAGAAATCCTAATCAAAAATAATTTCTCTAATCATGTCGTTAACGAATAAATATAATTAGCCTTAAGGAATTTCCGAAACAAAATGACATTAGACCTCTCCATGACATAAACAAAAATAATTATACCATTAACTAGCGTATTATGCCCAAATGTACCCTAATTAGAAACAGCGGGTAATCAATTAAAACGGTTCATAATACTGAATGATCCTAACAAGCACTTAAGATTTATCATCTACAACAAAAACTTCATATTAAATAAAATATCATTCGCCACAGGAGATTGTATCTTGAAGTTGATATGATTGATTTGATATGCATATATACGATATTAATATTAAAATAAAAAAAAATAATAATAATAAATGCATTAATAAAATAAAATTAATATATTGCATTCTTTTTGTGCAGTCTCGTGCGCAACAGTCGTTACACATAACATCACGCGAGATCATTTCAAATGTTTTTAACAATAAAAAATAAAAGTTAAAATTTTCAGACACATTTTTGTATGTTAATATTTTTTTTTGTTCCTTTATTATTTCAATTACTTTCCTCGACTAGTGGCGGCCAGCATGGCCATGGTCGGGAGAAAAATCCCTGCTTGTTAGTAGCAGTGAACTACAGGACTGAAAGACTCTTTCTGAAAGAAGTGAACCTTATCTGTAGTTTTCATATTTTTATCGTTAATTTTGGTCAGTCTTATATATTTAAAGGTTAAGAATAGTAGAGTAAACATTAATAACAACAATCAATATTTGGTATGTCCTCCTTTTGCCTTTATAACAGCTTTTATTCGTTTTTGCATATTATTGACTAAGTTGTTGCAGGTGGTAGGATCTATTTTCTGCCAATCTTCATGAAGTTTGGCCTCTAATTCTTTTTTTGATGAACATTTGTGCATTCTCACTCTTTTCCCTAAATGGGACCACAAAGTTTCAATGGGATTTAGGTCTGGGGATTGAGGGGGGCACTTCATCACTGTAATCCCTTTTTTCTCAAACCAACCGAGTGAAACTTTTGGCGTATGGCATGGAGCATTGTCTTGTTGGAAGATTACATCACTTGGAATGATATTATTAAATATTTTAGTCAAAGAGGTTCTGTAAACCTAGTCCAGCATGTTAGTATAAATTGTGGAGTGCATTCTGCCCTCACATGTGTACAACATTCCAGTGCCTGAAAAAGCCATGCAGCCCCAAACCATTACGCTTCCTCCTCCAAATTTTACAGTTGGAACCACACAATCAGGATGAAAT